TAAATAAAAAGTAAAAAAATATATTAAAATATGTATGCTTAGGTATTATAACTCACTAATCTTGTTTTCTTTTCCAAAAACACATTTCAGTTTCTGCATTGCTGTAAAGATTCTATTTTTCAGAATACTTTAAGATTTGTAGCTCAAGAAAAATATAGGTGGAAAAGCTTGTGAGGCAGACAAAGGTTATCACAAGAAGGGAAGAAACATAGCCAAGAGGATAGGAACTTTGGCCCTTTCACTTTCTTTAAGAATTCTGTAATAGGGAAAGAAACATCAAGTGCATAAGCCGTCAGTACGTGCTAGATGAGTAATGTAATTAAACAAAGAAGAAATGTTATCAGACAAATGAGACTTTACAAAATTAGACAAGGAAGATATGCAGTTGTAGATGTTGTAGATTTAAAAAACAAATGCTGGTTAAAAATATAGGCCCAGAGAACTCTGCTGAAGATAGCTCATCAGATGTTCCCTGATGTTGTCCTTGCTTATAAGAACTGTGGGTGCTCTATTGATTTTTAATTGTTTGTGTTTTTTAATCCTCATAAGAAACACATATTTATTTTATAATGTTAATCCTACAATGTGTACCACCACACAAGGTGTGGGAGTTACATTCAAATTTCTCCCTTTCCTTGGCTTTCTGTGTTGTACTCTGCTTTTATTCTTTCTTTTTCACAACATTTTCTCTGTGGTTTCATCTTTCTTCTCTTTCATTTGATCATCTGATTCCAAAGGACAAGTCCTCTGCCCGCCATTGCTAAAAGAGCGCAAAGAAAAGACAAGTTAATCCCTCCTCCGCATCTGGGTCTATCAAACAACTCTGAGTTTCCTGTTTCTTTACCCTATTAGAACCCAGACATTCACCATCCCCTCTTTGTTCCTTCTCATAGTTTTCCAGTAGTTCAGTGGTCGAGTATTTAAAGAGTGCTTATCCCTCTTGCAGGCTAATTCTTTAATGGGTGAACCAAATGGTGTAGATGCCATTTTGGTTCATGGTTTGCTCCTTACATGATTAGCCTGCTTCTCGTACTCTGTTCTCTGTAAACTACCCTTTCTTCCCTGTATCATCTGAAGCCTGTGTTATATCACAGTTGGTGCTGCCTCAGACTTCTGCATGTTTTTGCAGACCTCACAGTGTCTCCAGAGTAGTTTAGGAACTGGATCAAGAATCTATTTAAAAGCCAAGCATCATGTAGAAAACATATTCAGCCTTTAAACAATAAGTTGTTTTTTCTTTTTCTTTTATTTTTTTGCAGATATATTCTTGCCTTTAAGCAAGAAACAAAGGAGCAGAATCATCCAAAAAATACACTTCCAGATCTATAACCAGGAGTTTGCCAAATATTCTTATTGTGTTGGGGAAGATTAAGGTGATAGTGGTTATAGTGGTATTAATGATAATAACACGTAAGCCTCCATTATGGGGAAGGCCTTGTGTTTAATGCTTCGAATGTACCATCTTTAATTTCCACTCAAATAGCAGTCTGTAAGACCATTATTTTGACCCCCATTTTAGAGTTGAGGGACTAAAACAAAAAGGTTGAAAGGCACCAAGGTCACTTATTAAAAATAGATGGAATGGAGTCAGGGTCTGAACCCAGGTCTTTGTGACTTAAATTTGTTTATTTCTTTTTAATTAATGAGTTAAAATATGTCAAGTGTCTATTTGACATATTACTTATATAATAATCCTGTAATAAGTATGTACATGTTGACTATTGTTTTACCCCTTAGTTACTTATTTGGTTGTGTTAGTTTTTCTTTCCAGAAGGTGTTGGTGGCTTGAGGAGAGCACAGGCTTTACCGTCCAGACAATTCTCTGAGTTAGGTCTATAATCAAGTCCTTGAGACTGAATGTTAGGACACATAGAGAGGCAGATCTCTGTTACCGTTTCTTAACTGCTCCATTTCCATTCCTACAGGGTTATGTTAGTTCTCAGCTAAATAGTTCAGTATTATAGAAAAAGAAGTTCTCTGGAAAAATAGTTCATTTCACCCTGATATATTTGCTTAACATTTGGTAATATAGATTTCTGTTTTAATTCAGTAATTCTAAAACTATAGGGATATAAGGTACATTAAAGTTACAGCTGGTTTCTTGCCTTTTCTTTGGAATCTTTGAGGATATTCATTTGTATCTGCTTAAAATGAGCTTTTAGTTTTAATTTAAACTGAAAGAAATTACCTCCTATTTATCTTAGAATAATATCAGACATTAACCTGCGTTTTCCATTTGCAGACTCCCATTTTATAATGTGGCTCTCTCTTGCACTCTCTCTCTATCTCATGGACATCTACTGGACTATTTGCAGGGGTGCTTGCTAAGGGCTCCAGGTTAGCTCCACCTAAGAGCTCTGTATTGACAGCCTATCAACTATTCACTTTGATGCAGTATTGCTAACCAAATGTTAGTTATGGTCAGCATCAGTATGAAGTGCCATTATATGATCCACTGTATGTAAATCTGAACTAGAAAATCCATTCGACTGGGCTTGGTTCCTCAAGTAATGCTAGTGTCTTCACTTGCCATGAGGGAATGGGGCTGGTCTTTCCCATTGGAGAGCTGCATTCTAGGAGGAGCTAGCCCTACCTGAGTGGTCTACTACAGATTTTGGGGTCAACCACGTAGCTCCCTAGGTTCCTGTGCACAGTGCATCTCCTCTTCTCTTGAATAAGTAGATTTATTCTATTCCAATAGCAGCTGACTTGCCCATTAATACTTTACACATGTTGGTATCGCTTAACCTGTGGGTATCCTCTTGGTGTCTCATTGGATTTGCCTTTGTGTGCAATGTTCTTTCCAGCTACACTGAGGAGCTTTATGTAAACCCATGGGAAAGGTAGGACACCTGGACTGAATATGTATCTCCTTAACATCAGTCTCAACCTTAAGCTTTGTGTACACCATTAGGGCCATGTCTTGAAAATTCACCATTTGGGCCAGTGTAAGAATTTAAGTTTAAAGTTTCTCTGAAACCGCTATTGTGTATCAAGCTTTTTATTTCTGCCTGTGCATGAAGACTAAGCTGGATAGCAATATGATCATTGCAGATGATAGCCTATTGGGAAAATCCTGCAGCACAATATATTTTCTTATATGCCCACATACCTCAAGTATAAAAAGAATCACTGTAAGGGTTTAAATAACTGTGACAAAAACAGAATTGCATTATGTTCTAACATGACTGTAAAGTGATTATTTTTTTAATTTCCCCTTGTGTCTAAGGACATATTATAGGATGCACAGACTCTCAATGCTATCATTAGCTTTATTTAAATAAGCTAGGTTTTGGTTAATAGGTGAGGTATAACATTTCAACTAAAATATTGAATATATTGTTTTACCCTAAATTAAATAGTGTCATATTAACTCTGTTCTTGAAGTTTATTGACACTTTTATATCCCTTTGTATATTTTGCTATATGAATCTTCATTTACATTTTCTTCCAGTCCTTCTTCCCCGGGTGGATATTTGCCCACTGATATAGTATCAGTCTCATCCCTAGTTAATTTATTGTCCTTTTTCTTTTTCATTTCTGGGGTTTCTTTGTACCAATATCTATTTGACTCCTGTATTGTTATTATTCCTCATTAACTCCACCTTACCTTTTGGGTCCACATCGAATTGGTCCCCAAATTCATTTTTTATGCCACCAAGGTCTCATTAACACCTCCTTCTTCCCCTTTGTGTCATATTTCTATTTTCTGGTCCAGACCTTCATCGCTGCAGTCTCATACTATAGCTGCTCTTGCCCTGTTAACTGGTTTCTCTGTGCTAATCATGTTCTATCCAGGTTATTTTATGTCATGTAACTAAAATAATCTTCCAAAAATGAAAGTCTATGAACATCACTCCCCTCTCGGCAGAAGACACTCCAAACCTTTTACGTGGTGTTCCAGGCTCTACCACCTCGCCCCCCCATTGCCTGCCTTATATTCACTTCCACAGAGATGTGGTTTTCTAGTCAGTCTGGGGCCCCAAGTTTCAGAGCCTAGTGCATTATTCATTTGCCCAGAATGCCCTTTTCACATTTATGTTCCTGGTGAATACCTCTTTTTTTTTTCATATGTGTGTGTGTGTGTGTGTGTGTGTGTAAGTTGTTGATGGACCTTTATTTTATTCATTTATTTATATACAGTGCTGAGAATTGAACCCAGTGCCTCATACAAGTGAGGCGAGTTCTCTACCGCTGAGCCACAACCCGAGTTTTTGTAGATCATGAAATCCAACAGCTTCCTCCTCCCATTCTCATATTGAATAAGTCATTCACTCATTCCTCCCTATTGCCTACATTCTGAATTATGTCTGCTATGACACACAATAATGGTATTCTGATTATGTGTTTGCAAATCGGTTTTCTCATGAGACTGTGAACTCTTGGAGACTTGGATGCTCCTAGCCATCTTTCAATTCCAGAGCAGAGTACAAAATATGACACTTGTTGAGATGGTTCAATTCTCTCCAAATGTTCTCTATATTAAAGGATAAGTTCCCAGAAGATGGTTAGAAGTCTGGATCTTGGATTTCTATGTACTCTGTTCTTGTCTTATTAGCTCAACTAAGACTACAGTCTTAAGGAAGGCAATATTTTAAGTCCTCTATGGAGCAGTTGGCTTTGTCCCTCAGATGTTGGTAACATCAGCTAGTTTGCCTAAAAATTGCCACTGGTTTCAAGGGAAATTGAGAGAGTGGATGGGTAAGTTCAGGGCAATTTCATCTCTGCTATTAGAGAAATTGAATTAAATATCTGATTCTAAAAGTTTTACATTTCAGTATGAAATATACACCTTTTTGTTGTTGTTGATAGTAGCTATCCATGTGTACAGATGGGCTTGTCTGTCATAAAAGGGTCTCTGTTGTGTTGAAGGTAGCAGGAAGACCACCTGGTCATCAGAGTTTTGTAGTAATAACAATAATAGTCTCTCCACAACCTTTAAGATTACCAGCCTTGAGGTCTCATATATACCCACTCTCTTATCCATGTTTGTCTTCCAGGTGAGACGATGCGGATCGCCTCCTCTGAGTTTGCTGATGACCCATGTTCATCGGTGAAGCGTGGCACAATGGTGAGGGCGGCAAGGGCTTTGCTATCAGCTGTAACACGCTTACTCATCCTGGCGGACATGGCGGATGTCATGAGACTTTTATCTCATCTGAAAATTGTACGTATATAGAGCTTAACAGTTTCCTTTACGTGGGTGACCCTCTTGACCATGTGTGTTATAGCAATGAACTATGTTGGACATGGATCCCTTGGTTACTCATCCACATGGTATATTACCTCATTTTTCTAACAACAAAATTAAATTGAATAATATATCTAAGGCTTACTTAGATTGTTTTCTTTCTCTAAAAACAAACAAACAAAAATCCCCCCAAAACCAGAGTTTAAATTTATACTTGCTTCTTGGAGTATGTAAGGGTGTATTCTTAGGTTATAGATCTTGGACTCAGTGCACCTGCTGTTATTCCGTCTCAGGATTCAGAATGGTGTTGGTCCATGTGGAAATGAGGCTATGGCCAGCTCTTCTGTGTAGCTGACCAAATGATCAACTATGCCCACCTTAGAAAGTCATATGTTGAATATATTATTATCTATCCCAACTAGGTTCTTCTGAGTATACATGGAATTTGAGACCTTTATGGTGTGGTAATATGTGCACCCCATCCACATGTGCTTTGCTTATAATGGCTCCTTTTAATTCTTTTAATTTGCTAATGGAAGGGGAATCCTGCCCTGGTCACAGGCTTTACTGGAACTAAGGCAGTCTCCCCAGACCTTGACAGCTGGGCCTTTGTGTTCTCCTAGTTACTGAAAACAGTTTAATTGCAACCACGAAGATTTAACCCTTTGAACAAACATGCTGAGCATAGTTGCTCTGCCAAGAGATGCCCTTTTCCATGTCCTCAGTGGATTTAGTTCCTGGACAGTTGGCACCAACCTTGGATTTATGGGATGGGTCTTTAGATTATGGGATGGGAAATGCAGGATCTTTTTTTATTTTTATTTTTTTATATTTTTATGGTTCACAGGGGAACCAATCATTGGCTGGCTTAGTCTCCCAGCCCTGGGATTATAGATTTTTTCATGTTCCCTTTCAGCACATCTAAGTTTTATTGTCTTTGTCAATGAAGTGAAGCAGGTTATGAGGAGGAGATGAATGAGTTAGGAAGAGAATAATGAAGCCTGTTTTCTCCTCACCTTTCTCAAATCTGTTCAGGAGAAGGGAGCAAGAAATATCTTAAGTGTTAAATTAAATCATAAGTGTTGTCTGTCAAAAAATCTTGGGCAGGGTCTTTACTGGAATTTGCATTAATAAAAAGGCTAAGATTTCTAAGTCAGGCATAAACTCCTCAGTATTTTGAAAAATCTTAAACTCGAGTCCTACAGCCCAATCTCCATAGTCATAAACCATAAAGTGAACTATATGGTCTTTGTGGTTTTCCTGCAGGTTCCTGAGGAGCAAGGGAATACCAAGCAGAACCTGTTTTGCATTGTCTTTCTTAGATTCTTCTCAGATTAGACCTTCAAAAGCCACAGATGGCTCTTACAAACTGGATGGGGTGAATGATTCGAGGAGACACTTTACCTACTTCAGAAGATATTGAGAGGCAGTTAAGCACTATGATCAGCAACATGACCACTGAAGTCGGACTAAGTGGTCTTCATTTTGATGCGGGTCCACTTTCCAGCTGTGTTGTGACCATCACATAACCTTTTTACATCTCAAATATCTCATCTGTTAAATGGGGCTAATGGTGGTGTAGCCTTCAGATCATTAAGAGATTTGGATGGGGGAAATTCCTAGGAAGCAGTTATCACAGAGTCTGGTACAAAATGAGTATTTGGGAAGTGGTGGCTATATGTGGATTGTAAGATCACTGGAACCACTTATAGGGCTGGCTGTCCTTCTTCCAGCCCCGCCTCTGATACATGCATCTGTTAGGTTACAAATAATTTCATTTTCAAGTGTGTGGGAGAAAAGGTTTTGTTTTCACCTTACAGCCTTTTCAGTCTTCAAAGTCCATTTTCGCAGAAAGGTACTATTCCATTACCCTAGGGGTAGAGTAGGATTAAACCCAAAGAAATTAATATTGCATCCCGTGTGTCATTATTGGTCATGCTGTGGAAGGTCCTTTTCAACAACCATTAGGGTGATAAAGGGCTCAATATTCTTCCTGATCTGTCCCCACAAGAAAAGTGCTTCTTAAATCTGAGCCTGTGATACCATGTGTGCACCAGTTGGTGCCTGCAGTCCTACTCTACCCACCTGTTTGACCAGTGCTGACTGCTGATAGCATCACAGCAACATGTAATCTAGAGTCAATTGTATTCTCCTCTCCACACAGCAGATTAAGGGTAGCTTTAAAAAAAAAAAAAGGATTTAGCACAAAATCATGCAAAGGTCAACCCAGCAATATTAAGTAGTCCTGTCAGACTGTCAGTAGTAAAATTAAAAATGATTGTAGACTAAATACTACATTGTTCTACTTAGATTGCAGCCTCTGTAGCAAACAGCAGTGGTGGAATATTGCTATCTTGTGGAGCCAGCGAGGAACTACAGTTTCTGTTGCCATCTCTGCATTATGCAGGTTGTGGCCTCTGTCACTCTTTGGTATTCAGATCAGCCTGGGCTTCATCTCATGAAGCTATCATCCCACCCCCAAAAGATATTCTGTCAACAAAATCATTATAAAGAAACATAGTGCACAGTTCTGCTTAGTATCATACTGTTTCTTTTCTGTAGAATCATACCCTCTCATTAAATATTAGAAGCCTCTGTTTTTTTGACTTAGAATAAAGAACATATCATGTATCTTTACATGTTTTGATGAAGCAAATTAGTAACTATCATATGAACCTTTATTAAGGTTTTTTCCAGTGAACAGTAATTTCCTTTACCTTGTGGAGGGTAAAATGTAGATGATGGGGAAAAAGTGATGATGATAGGCTATATGCCAAATTTTTATTAGTGCTCTTTCTAGATATTAATTATTCACATATCTGAGTGACTTACAGGAACATATGTGAAATTTCTTTCATATCATAAATGTACATCTACGTTTATCCATCAACAATTCACCAAGCAGATGGAGAATCATCAATTTATTTTTCTGTAACACTAATCTTTACCCTCTGCCCTGCATCCCAACATGACATCATTGGCACATTGAGCAGTCACTAGCATATGTCATTCAGCCTCTAAAAATGAGAAAAGTATTAGAGGTTCTACTCAAGTTACTTGGTTTTACAGTTTATAGGTCTTTACATTCTGCCCTCTTAGAGTTATATTTGGAAACCTAAATTCATGTGGCTACTGAGGCTTTCTTCTCACTTAACACAGAGAGATGTTAGTTGTCTATATGATGTTCTTGTTCTATCATACAAGCATTTTTTTGTGTTTTAATATTGAATATTTTTAGGGTGTTAAACTGAGCTTCATATGACTTCAAAAAGTTTTTGCTGCAGCTTTTGTTGTTTCAAATCCTGAAGGACAGTGATGAAACAGTGGGTGACATATAGTTCCAAAGCCATACAGAGCTTTGACATGTAGCTTGACATATAGTTACTGTTTCAGTCATCTTTTGAGTCACTGTGACCAAAATACCTGACAAGAACAACTTGAAGAGTAAAGGTTTATTTTGGCTTACAGTTTCAGAGATTCAGTCCATGGTCAACTGACTCTATAGCTCAACGTGAGGTAGAACATCATGGTGGAAGGGCATGGAGGAAGAAAGCAGCTCAGGACATGGCAGCCAAGAAGGAAAGGGAGAGCTGTGCTCACCAAGGACAAAATATAAACCCAAAAGGCATACCCCCAATGACATATTTCATCCAGTCACACCAGATCTGCATAGAGTCACTGCCCAGTTAATCCATGTCATTGGATTAATCCACCAATTAGGTTACACCTCTCATAATCGAACTTTCTTTCATTGCATCACTTGTGGGGAATAACACATATGTAAACCCCAATTGCAGTTCCCCCACCCAGAAAGCCTCATATAATCTTTTGTCTATCAGACACTATTAAAATACTGAATTATAATCACTTTCATTGCTGAAGTTCCTGGTGAGTGATTCCCTAGCCAGACACCTGGTATATCCCACAATCAGTTGGCATTGTTAGTGTGTTAGGGTGATATGTGGCACTTCACAATTTTAATGAAATTCTGCATTTCAATCAGTGATCATGAAGAGGGATATTTATTTGCCCTAGACACTGAATTAATGTAATCATATTATTTTGTCAGTTATTAGTATGAGTGATAGCATTACATATGAACACATCAAGACATGTATATGCCAGAGAAAATAGTCACCATTTTTTCTGTCCTCAGGCCCTGGAATAATGTCATTCTTTAATATCACAGAATTTCTCTCTAGAAAATAGAATAACAAAATATGATACAATAACCACTTAGTCAATGTCTTGAAAGAGTCAGAATTGATTAGTGGCTATCAGAGGCCAAATCAAATTCTGCTGTCCCGTTGTTTAGGATCGTTGATGATCCTAAACAGGCCAATCTTATGATTACCAGTGCTTTTTATGATGTTAGCGTCAAATAGTCCTGCATAAAGCCCCAGTAACTTATTATTTCTCACTAGTCTTCCATTTATTCCTAAAGCTAGAATGTAGCTTTTTTTTTTTTTTTTTGCCTGAAGAACAATGTGTATAAAATAGCCTTGTCTCTAATTATAAGTGTAAAAAATTACGACCCTACCTGGGGCTGTGGCTCAGTGGCAGAGCACTTTCCTAGCATGTGTGATGCATTGGGTTCAATCCTCAGCACCCTATTAAAAAAAAGTAAAAAATTACGACCCTAGTTTCTTAGCATATTGTTTCTGTCAGCTCTACCATGGCATTAACTTCATGCAGCTAAACTGTTCACAATTCACTCAGTTTTTTTTCAAGAAATACGTATTGGGTACTTGGTGTATGTGAAACATTGTGATATATATGTAAAGATGACTTGGCAAGAGCTTTCTAGGGTAGTGGAAGAGACATTAAGAAAGTGCTGTAGGAAAGGCAATAGAATGAATCAGACATAACTTTCTTATGTTCATATATGAATATATGAACACTAACTCCAAATAATGTACAACTACAAAATGGGAAGTTATACTCCATGTATATATGATATGTCCAAATACATTCTA